TGATACATTATAAGTTTGATTTTCACTATGTATCATCTATTTTTTTCTATTTTTTTATTAAAATATTGGTGATTTGTTTTTTTATAATCTGCCCCATATCACAAGATGTTAGATAAAATTAATTTATAAAACACGAGACAGTGGCTACATCTGCACTGCAGTTCGAAACCATTTTAACTGCCATAGCTCAATGCTATTGTATCCTGGGATTTGTAGTTTGTTGGGACGCCAGATCTCTTGGACAGAGAAGGTGAAATATCTCACTAAACTACAAATCCCAGAATTTCATAGCATTGACTCATGGCAGTTAAAGTGGCGTTAAACTGCAGTATTTCTGCAGTGCAGATGCAGCCAATGAGGCATCACTAAAATAGACTGAAAGTATATTAGACCCAATGTTTCCCAAACTGCATTCCTCCAGATGTTTTGGACTTCAGCTCCCAAAATTCCTGACAGTTTGCCAAACTGGCTAAGGCTTCTGGGCGCTGAAGTCCAAAACACCTGGAGGACCAAAGTTTGGGAAACACCGCAAATGAAAACAGTTTTAAAAACTGGGCACACTTTCCCCCATGATATAAACGTCGCTTTCCCTTTCTGCTGGTCGGGGGATTCTGGGAGTTGTAGTGCTCCAAAACTCAATTCTCTAGGCTGTGGGGAGGAAAATGGCATACCAAAGTACTTTTCCTTAGCCAGTTTGGCTAAGGAACCCCGCTGCCAAGCCCCACAGTCAAAGCAACTCACGACTTGACGGCCCGCATGGCGAAGACGGTGGTCATGCTGAAGAGGTACTGGGAGTTGGCGTTGAGATCCTCGACTTTGCTGACGTTGTGGCATCTTGGCCAGCCTGGCGCATATTCCCCATAACTGTGGCGACAAAGAACAACCAGAAAAATCCACCCTAAAGAAAAGTCACTTCCTATTTTGCCAAAAAATGTGCCCAAATTGACCCATGCAGGGCAAAAAAGTGGCAACAATACCCACCTAGAGTGCATTTGGGGGGGGGGGCATTTTAGACCCCCAATGGGTGCCAGAAAATGGCCGAGGAGGTGACATGTAGCCCATAGGTTACACCTTGTGGTGTTGGGGTTGTGTGCCTTCCAGTCATTTCTGACTTACGGTGACCCTAAGGCAAACCTATACTTGGGTTTCCTTGGCAAGTTTCTTCAGAGGGGGTTTGCCATGGCTATACCCTGAGGCTGAGAGAGTGTGACTTGCCCAAGGTCACCCAGTGGGTTTATATGGCCGAGCTAGGATTTGAACCCTGGTCTCCAGAGTCGTAGTCCAACGCTCAAACTGCTACACTACTTTGCTCTTGGGTTACACCTTACCACAAGGTTACTCCTTGGCTGCTGCCATACTGCGGAATTAATGCAGTTTGATACTGCTTTGACTTAGCTCCTTGCAATGGAATCCTGGGATTTGTAGTTTTGAGGGGCATCAGAGCTCTCTGCCAGAGAAGGTAAAATAGCTCAGAAAAGTACAAATCCCAGAATTCCATCCCATGGAGCCATGGCAGGTAAAGCAGTGTCAAACTGCATTAATTCCGCAGTGTAGGTGCAGCCCTTGACGTAAGAATTAGAGACTGAGATTTTAAAAATGCTGGCACTTTGAATCCTGGGAGCCTTATAGTCTGAAAACACCAGGACAGTGGCAGATGGTGGCGAATCCACTCTGGGGTCTAGTCCAAACCTTAAGATAACTATCCAAGCTGCTGAACTTCTTTTTGGGAGTAGGGTTCAACACCCTGCATAGTTGATTTAAAATCCGTACTAAAACCCGGCACAGATTCACCATCCCACTGAGATGAGAGCCTCACCTGTAGATTTCCTGCTGCTTTTTCAGCTCTTCCTTGCGATGTTCCAGAAGGTGTGGGTTGCTCGAGTCGTCAGCAACCGTTTTGGCTGGAAAAACAGAGAGAGAAGCAGAGAAGGACCATTAATGAAGATATTCATTAATGCAGTTAGCAAAAATGGGGGAATTTGCTTCAAACCCCTGTTTTAATATGACACGATGTTGTGGTTCCTAAGTGAGATGCACTCTTGACATGCTCAGAGGTAACCTCTTCATTCCATTTTGAAGTCCCTGGGCATAGTTTCCACTAGGCTGAATCTATGCATGCAGACACAGTTGCATTGTGTCTCTGGAAACAGACGTGAAAACTATGTGGCCCTCCACATATTGCTGGACTGCATTCCCCAGCATTCCTCACCATTGTTTAAGTCAGCTGTGGCTGCTGAGAGCTGTAGTCCCAGCACATCTGGAAGGCCTCCTGAGTCCCACTTTGGACCTAACAAGCTTGTAAATGCAATTCCTGGGGACTACAGTTCCGAGGATGCTTCCCAGGAGTCTGGGAGTTGTAGTCCAAAAGGATAACTTTTTACGTAACTATTGACTAGAGTTTGGGTTGGGACTTCCAAATCAGCACTGATATATGTAGAGAGAGATCTTGTAGCACCTTTGAGACTCCCTGAAATAAAGAAGTTGGCAGCATGAGCTTTCCTAGACTACAGTGACTATAGTGTCTATGCATCTGAGAAAGTAGACTTTAGTCTATGAAAGCTGATACTGCCAACTTCTTTCTTTCAGTTACTCTCAAAGGTGCTGCAAGATCTTTCTACAGACTGATTCTACAGACTAACACGGCTATATCTTTGAATTCTACCCGCATTGATATATGTGAGTGCAACCATTCCCCTCCAAGCTACCATGGCAGCCTCTCAGAATTGCAGAACTGGGAGGTACCATGAGGTCATGTAGTCCAGCCCGCAACTCAAGGCAGGCCATGGGGGTCAAATGGCTCCCCATCTCTAGTGAAGAGGGATATTAGAAGGACATCCTACATCCAGAGGCATCATACCTGTCCCTTCCCGAAGAGTCAGGATACCGTATCCCTCCAACCATTGGTACGAGGGGAAGTGCCAGGTCTCTCCTTGCGGACTTGTCACCCGGACATAACTGCAAAACCAGCTGTCCTCCGGGAAGAATAAGTAGCGTTCCTTGTGGAGTCGGATCAAGAGGAGGGGACCCAGATCTTCTTCAACGGACACCTGGTACTCGTCCACCTGGAGAAGCAAAAGAGGAAAATGAATGGGTCTGGAGGTTGAGTCGGAAAAGCACTTTGGTACCCCCTCAAAGGACAGCCAGCATCGCATAGAGGTTTGCAGGTTGGACTACAATTCTGGAGACCAGGGTACAATTCCCAGCTAAGCCATGAAACCCACCTTGGGCAGGTCACACACTCTCAGCCTCACAGGAAAGCCATAGCAAAACTGAAATCTTGCCAAGAAAATCCCATGATAGATTTCATTTCAGGGTCACCATAAGTCGGAAACGACTTGAAGGCACCCAACAACAACAACCCCCTTCCAAAATAACAACACAGGGCTCCCTCCACAAGATCCTACTGAAGTACAGCTGTGAAAAAGCTACTCTTTGGACTACATATCCCAGCATTCTGGAGCCAGCGTGGTCTGGGGGGCCACAGGCCAGCAGTAGGTGGAGATAAGGAGAAGGGGTGCTGACCACATTGGGAACCCCTTTAGTAGGCCACCAAGGCTGTCCCCAGACAATTTTGACCTGAAGCAAAGGACAAAATGGAGCCGCAGGGCGTACCTTTTCAAGGACCTGTCAGAGCTGGGTTTGTTGTTGTGTGCCTTCAAGTCATTCCCATATTATTATTATTCCCAACTTATGACAACCCTATCCTGGGGTTTTCTTGGCAAGCTTTGTTCAGAGGAGGTTGGCCATTGCCTTCCTCTGAGGCTGAGAGAGTGTGACTTGCCCAAGGTCCCCCAGGAGGTTTCATGGCCAACTGGGAATCAAACCCTGGTCTCCAGAGCCCAATGCTGACAACCACTACCAAGGGAAATAAGCAAGTCTGTGTATTTCCTTGGCAAATCTGTATATTTTCTTGGCCGATTAATATAGGCAGTAGTGGAAGAAGAATTTATGTATTCCTATTTAAGTGAAATATTTCTATCCTGACTT